CCACCATATGAGGAACCTCCACCGGATCCGCCTCCATAACCGCCGCCAAAACCACCACCTAAAAAGAATTTATTAGATGCATCAAATGATAAAATAGAGTTAATTACCAAAACCACCACCACCTCCAGCACCGCCTCCGAATCCTCCTGTTTGTTAATTAAAGTCGTTTTTAGTTTCATTAAAAAATTAAAATCTTTTTTCTTACCTCCAAAGCCACCGCCAGCACCACCACCAGCTCCACCACCAAAACCACCGCCACCAGCGTTTCGGGCAACAACAGTGGATATTTGTTCTCTGACCTGAAAAGAAACAAAAAATAATGTAAATTCATTGTAACAAGAGTTGTCATTAATCTTACCGGTTGAATGGTCTGAACAATAGACCGGCTTGGAGTGATAATTTCTCGAACCTAAAGTGACCGGGAAAAAGTAAATTAGTTTACCTGTTATCATTTCAGCACCAGTTCTCTAAATAGTACCTCTTGAATGATAGGCTATTGAAGGAATAATAAGATTAGTATTAATAATCAATTAATAAACAACACTGTTCTTACTTTTGTGACGGTATGTCTCAGAACATGAGGCTCATCTTGACTGTGCGTTTCCTTGAAAGAACCAGCTGCTCCTTCGTGCTTTGATGCTACGTTAATATGAGAGCTAGAACTCTAAAAAATGGTTGTTTACATTTAGCATTATAATTGAGTAAAAGGCAAAAAGTTTATTACTCTGAAAATAAAGTTAACTGGCAGAACGTTGGCTGGAACGTCAATAGAAACTGGGTGCGTATATCCTGAGCTAGGGACATCGTAGTGCTAAAAAAGAAATTAATTTTGATTGAATGATATAAGTAAACTCTAGATGATTTTTACTTTGACGTTGTGATGGCTTATGACAGCGGCATGTACAGAGTGCCCATATCCACCCCCACCGTGACCATAAAAGCTGCCGTACCCACCTGAATTACAATGGCAAGTGTTAAACAAAAGTGCTCAAAGAAAGTGTCATAGTGTGAAACCTACCACCGCCACCACCTCCACCTCCATAGCCTCCCCCGTAACCAGAGGCCGCCGCAAATCCTAGGACGGCAGAGAGTGTGAGGAACTGTCGAGAAAGTAAAAAAGAGAAAGATGAAACACTGCAGAGTGGACTAGTGATCACTGGGGCACATACACGAAGCATTATGCGGTAAAGTTAAATTTGAAAAATATCAAACAAATGAAGCTGCTGCTGCTGTTGTTGCTGTTGTATGAACGTTTACTGCTTGCTTGCCTCTCTTGGTTCTCGTCACCGAGCTTATATACTCACCCTGTTCGACTGTTTGTCATTGAAAGAAGAAAACGGGAAAGAGTAGGAGAGCAGAAGAAGTGTCACCATTGGAGAGCAGGCACAACATTTGAAGCTGGCAAAATTTTAATTAATAATGATCACTGGCAATCAACATTTGACTGTGTAGACGCTTGGGCAACGGTAGCTGAGGTGCAGGGAGCGAAAGGCTAAGGACAATTACCGTCATTAGAAGCAGTGCTTGCAAGAAATTGTCCTGGTTGAGGAAATGTCTTCGATGTTGAAGAAAAACGTTCTTAAACTTGAGAATGTTTTTCCAAGTTGTAAAAAAATTGTAAAATGGTATTGTTTTGTGAATAAGCTTTACTGAAAACAGAAACTGTTGCAGATTCTTTTTTTACAAAATTTTTATTGCTGGTTTAAAAATTTAAAATTGCACTTTGTTCTTTGTGTTTAAGGATCTTTCATTAACTTTCTAGAATTTCCCTTTTTTTCTGCTATATTCTAAAGCTTTGTCAATCTCTGGATTAGCTTGTTTTTCCATCAGAAGGACACACTTCATTATCTTCACTCAATCCTATCAGCCATTAAACACAATTAACAATGTGCAAATCTAGCAGCTTTTCCCTTAGCAATCCTTTTACTTCAGTCTAATGCTCAAACCCTAATCGTCGGCTTTGCTAAAAAGAGACACCCATTGTCTGACTTCGGTTTATTACTGAACTGTCTATTAGGCCTGAATGAAGTAATAGTTAACAAACAAAGAGCAGTGTGCGGTAGACAAACAGACAATTTCAGTGCAAACGGCAATAAATAAATCCTCTTTATATTTTCTAAAGAATATTCATTAAATATAACATATGTCAAAGATACTGCAGTGACTTTTTCAAAATCTCTGCGTTTTTCTGAGTGTTCAATGCTGCCCGACTTGTACTTAAGCAAAAATATAGCTAAGGAAGTAAAGCGTCTATTGAAGCGAAGAATCAAGTTTTAATTGATTATGCTTTTTGTTTAATTAATCAGTCAGATGTCATTTAAAATGTTAATTAAAAGTAAAAGTAAAATTATAGTTTTAACAAGTTTCCTAATCATATAGACATTTTGACTTAACATTATGCTAATCAAAACATTGATACTTTTTGTCAGTAACTTTTACCAAGAGGGTAATAATTGAAAAAAATGCTGGCGTTTATCTTTTGCCCACTTGTGGTGCTTAAAAGATAGCAAAATAAATTGTTAACAAAAAAGCAAATTGTGTACAATATCATCATTTGGTGATGTACATTTGAGAGTTTATTAAATTTGTTAAAATTAACAAGCTTGTTTGAAAAGAAAAAAAGGGCAAACAGCAAAAAACTTGAGTAACGGCAATCATCACTGCCGACGACTAACGACTCTAATTACCCGCACTACAGACAGCTAATGACAGATAATTAAACGGTTAGGTAACCGAGCAGAGGAAGTGCACTAGGCGCAACAATGTGACTACTGTGTGGTTACTGCTCAACCGTTGCTCTCCACCACACTCACTTTCTCCTGATGACCTTAGATATTATACAAATCAAACTCAACCTTTCACTGTGGATTGCACTGCTGAGAAAAGTGACGTAAGGTGGTCAGCACTGGTTGATGAGGAGCACTACCAGACAACAACCAACTGTTGCCTCATCGTTCACTCTACTGAAGAAGGCAATATAGACTCACAGACACAATTCATAGTGATTAATTTGGTCAACTATGAGATTTCCAATTAAGTGGAGAGCACTGCAGGGGATTATGAGGAGATTGTACAGCGGAAAGGTTGGCTAGCACATTCTTTTGGTGTGCATTGTAGTGATGAACATTTGCCCTCTTATCAACTGATGCACTAAAATGTACAAACTAAAATGTAAATTTTGACATTATTTTGCCTGCTATAAAAAGAACAAGTTTTGACATGCAGTTATTATTTTCTCTCGTATTTCAAATAATGCAAAATTTTTTTGACACAAAATGAAGTGTTTTATTTTTACCGTTTTTTGCATTTCAGTTGTCGGTAAGTAGTTTACTTGAAGTCGTTTGCTAAAACACATTTTTAATATTTAAATTTTTGCAGTTGCATCAGACTTTCAAAATGAGTTTGATCGTTTGCTTGTTTCTACAACACTCGACCACTTGACAAAGCTAGAGCATCGTCTTTTAGAATTGCAAGACGAGATGAATCATGTTGAAGTTTTTCCAACTGAAGCTGAAAAGGAGAAAATAATCCGAGAAATGGAGACAATGATTGCTTTTACAGAGCAATCTGAAGCTGTACTCGCCCGAGAATCAAAAAGGTCTGACTTGAACATGGTCGAGCGTATCAACTTCGAATCTGCCCTTAAAATAACACAAGTGATAGCCGCCAATCTGAAGGTGTTTGAAAAGAAAGTAAAAACTATCAAGGTTGACCCTAACCACCCTACACCTAAACCACATCATCCCCTTCACTTAACGGTTGCTGACTTTCAAAAGATAGAAACCCGTCTAATTCAGTTGCAAAAGGAGATTACACAGCTAGAATTGTCAAAATCAAAAACGGAACAGACAAGAATTATCAACGAGATTGAGACTGCCATTGCCTACATCAACGCCAATTTGCCCAAGCTGCAAACTGAACTAAAGCGAAAAGACCTTACTCTCCAGGACCAGATTATCTTTGAAATGGGCACCAAGTTGGGGCCAATTTTAGTGAAAGATCTCAAAGAGCAAGAAATTAAGGTAAAAACCATCAAAACTCATTAAACAATTATTTTTTGTTTATACTAAAAATACTAAACCAATTAAAAAATGTTTTATATAATCACGTACAAATGTTTATCATCAAGGCTGCCTCTTCACAATTTGTTTTTAAGTAAATACTCCACTTTTAATATTATCAAAAAGAGGCTTTTGCCAATGATAAATCATCTCAAACAGGACAAGCAGTCAACTATTTATTTGCTTAATTTGCAGTTATTAAGCTACCTTTTTGTAAACCCAAAAAATCAATCAAAATGAAGTTTATTATTGTTGCGTTAGCTTTTGTTTCTGCGGTCTTAGGTAAAACTTGTCGTGCTAATAAACTGACCGTATTTTTAAATTTTGTTTACACTTTTTAGCCGCCGACCCACCAATGCGCAATGAGTTTGACAAGCTGCTCGTTCATACGATGATGACCAACTTTGCCAAGATGGAGTATCGATTGATGGAGTTGTCCCATGAGATTACTCACCTGGAAACCACCAAGTCCGCCATTGAGCAGGCGACCATTGTTGCTGAAATTGAGATGATGATTGGCACTGCTGAACACGGAGAGAAAATTCTTGCCGGCGAGCTTGCTCGAAAAGATCTAAATATCCTTGAGCAGATTGACTTTGAGTCAGCCCAAAAAATTGCTCAGATTCTCGTTAAGAATCTTAAAGCTGCCGAAGTCAAAGTGAAGGCCATCAAGACTCATTAAAAACAGCTGTAGTTTGTTTACTTTTTAATAAACAAAATAATCGAAGCAACATGTTTACTTTGTGTACTTGGGCAGCAGATGGGTTGTCTCTTCAAAGTACTCCTCAGGCAGACAGTACATACTGTAGAGCATTGAGCAGACGGCAAGGGCAATGTTGAGAAGGAATGGCTCTTCATAGGCAAGCTCAAAAAGTGCCGTCACAATGTTAAACAGGAGAAAAGTGAGTAGCAGTAATCGATGACGCCAGTAAACGCCCAACAGTCCGGTGGCGTAAAAGAGCAGCGAACAAAGAGAGGCACAGTAGAGGAGAACCAGGTACGTGTTTTGATCAAAAAGTTCCGAGCTTTTGCTCTTCTGGAGAAAAGTTGTCTCCTTCAGACGACCTTCAGGCACCAAAAAGTACAGCAGCGGGCTTAGGTTTTCTAGCAAAGCTGCCAGAATAATGACTACCATGAAAAGGGTGTCCAAACATCGCGAGGATTGAGTTTCAGTGTTCATGCTCAAGTTTCTTTTAGTGAAGATGATGAAGCAGCTAGAGTACACAATAGCAACTGAATGAGTCGGCGGTAGATGCTGATGTCACATTTTTCTAGCTGCTCGGTCACAAGTCAAAGATTGCTCGTGTTTGCGAAGTGGCAAGAAGAAAGATTAGAAAAGTAAAAAATATCAAAAGTAGTTTATGCTGTGTAAACTGATAAGAAAAGTTAACAGTAACCCACAAAAAAACCATTTTAGTATAAAATCGTCAATTGTTTTTATTTTTCAAAACAAAATTAATTACAATTTGACACTTAACACTTTCAATTCTGCCGTAATTAGCTGTTGATCAAGAAAGTGCTCAATTACGGAAATAACGTCAAACATAGATTTTTTCTCCTCAGCAGTGGTACCAGGTTCTAAAGCAAGATGTTGAAAAAAGTCTTGAACTCCGAAAAAAAAGTTAAATAGAANCAATTACGGAAATAACGTCAAACATAGATTTTTTCTCCTCAGCAGTGGTACCAGGTTCTAAAGCAAGATGTTGAAAAAAGTCTTGAACTCCGAAAAAAAAGTTAAATAGAATGCGAAACTGTTCTAGCAATTTGTCTTGCTTTTCTACTGTTGGATGCTCGAAAAAGTCTTTTAGCTGTGTTTCCATTTTCATCAGTAGTTCAGAGGCCGATGTCACCTGTTTAACGATTACCAAAGGAAGATCTATAGAAAAGCTACCGTGATCAGGAGCTGCTGTGGTGGGTGCGGAAGTTACCAAAGTAGCCAAACATAAAANATGCGAAACTGTTCTAGCAATTTGTCTTGCTTTTCTACTGTTGGATGCTCAAAAAAGTCTTTTAGTTGTGTTTCCATTTTTATCAGTAGTTCAGAGGCCGATGTCACCTGTTTAACGATTACCAAAGGAAGATCTATAGAGAAGCTACCGTGATCAGGAGCTGCTGTGGTGGGTGCGGCAGTTACCAAAGTAGCCATACATAAAATAACAAACAAAATTTTAAACATTTTAATGTTTTTGTAAATATTGAAATAACAATTTTAAAATTATATTAAAAACTCACACTTTTAACTTAAAGAATAAATTGTTTGAAAAGTCGTATCTCAAAGTAGTTTTATCCGGGAGCATATTTTATTTTACAAAACAACAAGCTACTTGACTTTTGTAACTCAAAAATAATACTAAGTTTGCACTTTAAAACATTTAAAATTATTAACTTTAACTTTTATATTAAAAAATAAATGTATTTTGTAAATCAAATTTTAGTTTATTAAAATTAATTTACAAAAAATATAATTTGTTTGAACGATCATCGCTTAGACCTTGATGGCGTTCACTCGAGTAGCCAGAGCCTTGAGGTCTCGGTCAAGGATGCCAATGGTGGCAAGAACAGCCTAATTTAAATGTTAAAAGATGTGTTAAAATAATGACTGGATTCAACACAAATTTAATTACCTCAAAGTTGAACTTCTCCACAAGATCCAGATCAGTCCTCTTCAGCTGCGTAGTTTTAATAAAACAAA